CTGTAGAGAGGAAATTATTTATATTGTCAGTGTCAGCTGATCATTGATTTCTTAATTACACGTTTTCCCTTGAGGCTGAGACAACTGATATACTGTACAAGACCAGCGCTGAAGGGGAAGCCTCTCGGTGTCTCACTGGTGACTTATGGCTACGTCGACTCTCTCCGATGGGTCTCTTTTCTCTGTCAACGGCTTCTCAACACAACAAACACTCAAACACAAGTATCATCTTTCTCCCAGGAGAATAGTGTGCACAGAGAGAGGCTCAGAGTGCGGTGGCAGGCAGTTGAAACGTTTTCTTTGCTGACAACGAAGGGTAATAAAACACCCGCTGCTGCATGTTGCGACAGACCGTTTTTGTGCTTTGAGGTGGTCACAGTCCCGTGAAACACGGCGGCGTGTTGTGTAGCATCAACACATTTTAGCTAGGAGATGGAAACACTGATATGTGAAAGTGGAAAGGCTGGATTATTATTTATCGGCTTTATAAGCTCACAAACTGCACTTCATCACTCCAATCTCGTCTGGACACTCATTTGAAAACTCGTGCGTCGTGAATTTTTAAGATCTGCTCTTTTACTGCTCCACTCCAAAGTGGCAGCATTTGATTTGTCTAGGGCTGGGCTTTTATTTGTCAGATTGGCGTATCGGGCAGTAATTTGAGCTCTTTGGTTTACACTGATTGTTTACAGCTGCAATAAAAGCATGAATAAATTTTTAAAAAAGACGACTATCTGTACTTCTCAGCCACAGACACTTATAGCTAACTAGCACTCAGATTTAACAAACTTTACTTTAGACCAAAACAAATTCTAAATCGTTTAAATTCTAAAAGTTGTTGACTTCAATATGGCAGGGAGATACGAAGGTATTAAAACACGGCTCACAAACTACGGACATTGCACCAACGTGTATTTTAGCGCTAGCACTAACCTCCGTTTGACTGTATCTTCACTCCTGCGGTTTCCACTGAACATGATCTTCTGGCACCGCTTGCATGCCAGATGCTGAAGGCATTGTTTACATCTCACATCAGCTTCGAAACATTCCATTGTTGAGATTTATGAGGATCATTTGTTTTTGTTTTTATCACCGCAAGAGAGAGGAAAAAAGAAGCAAAGTAGTCTAATCTTGCCAACTCATCTCTCGTCTCAGCTTTAGGTGTCTGATTTTCGGTACCTGTTCACCCACATCAGCGGGATCACACAATACCTGCATGGAAACACTGAGATAACAGTCCCGATAGCAGAAAAACACACACACACATGCTCCTGGAAGAATTAAATCAGTGAAGGATAGTCACTTTCTTCTGAGTGCCATTTGGAGTCTGTTTAAAAAAAAAGAGGGGGGGGGGGGGGGGGGGTACGGCATCTTTCCAGTTTACATAGCAGCAGCCCCAGAGAGGAGACAAGGAGACCCAGACAGGCTTAGTAGTCCAGAAGCCATTCCACTCTCAATGGGAACATGTCTTGGGCAGACACTCCAGTAGTTTTGTCTTGTATGTTGCTATCTGTGCTAGCTGCAGAGTGGAGGGGGGGCCCGTGCCAAGCGAGAGGGTCCGTAGGGACCGTTGGAATAGCTGGGGCTGGAGGAAGTTGGTCCAGGTCCAGTGGGGTGATCTGGGCCTGGTGACAAGCCAAGCTGTCTGCTGCAGGGACGCTGGGAAAATGTAAATAAGAGCCTGATAAGGCCTATTGTTTTCATTCCATTCTCATCCCAGCTGAATGACCTGCTCCCCAGCCTCGGAGCATTTTATCTCAAGAGAGGGAGGAGGAAAAAATGAAAAGGGGCGGGGGTGCAAGAGATTTAATAGCCCCCACAGGAAAATAAAAATAAACTCACTGGACTCTTCTCTTGTTTAGGCGAATTCCCCCGGAATACCATGTCCTACTTTAAAAGGACAAAAGCTGCAAACTTTACGCTAAAACTTCGAAAGTCGACTTCTGGCTGTTAAATCTTTTCCATTTATGTTTCCTTGCAGATCAGGAGAAATCCGTGTTAACTGTTGAACATTCGTCTACATTCTGTTTGACATAAAACAACAGATTATTAGTGATAAAATAAACGGACAGTAATGAGTTTGATACTGAACAGTGTTTCTACTGGCATCTCTACTGCCTCCTGAGAAAAGAGACATGCCTTGTTATAAAACTGAAATAGCATTCCTGCTATTAATCTAAATTCTTGAAAAAAAAAAGGCTGTAGAAGGGTGAAAGAATCCAGAGATGATTTCCTCATACAAAAAAAAGATGTTCTCTGTTTTCACCAAACCCATTTTTGGTTGCCTGCTTTGTCCACGCTGTTGGAATGGTGGAAGGCGTTTGAGTTATTTTACAGATTAATCCAGATCATTATTCACCTCTTTCAGGTGGAAGCGCAGGGAGGTCAGCGCTGCATTCCAGCTGTAGTCTCTCTCCTGCTGGAGGACTTGACAGGTCGTGTTTGGCCCGGCGGCGGGGATGGAGAAGCGAGGGAGGGATCGACGGCTCTCCTGGGAGGGAGGTGGATGAAGGGAGGGGAGGACTGGAGTAGAATGGAAGCTGGCACGGCATTATCTCCAACTGTTGGTGCATTCCTTAATGATCAAGTGCTGGAGAAGCATCTGCTGTGGAAGCGAGTGTGCATATGGATGTGTGTGTTGTACAGTGAAAGCATGTGTGCAAACAAACATATGCTCACGGTGTTTGTTTTGTTTGACTTCTCTGTGTTTTCTTTGGGTGTCAAACAGTGTTTTTCTTTTTGTCTTTGGATCAGAGGAGATTGTTTTTTGTTGTCGTGGATGAGAACGCTGACTCACCCTTGGGTGAGATGCAGAGAGGAAGAGATGATCTCCGCTGCTCCCTCTGCTCACTAAACACCCTGCTTTCAGATCTGTGATCTTTGTGCCACATGGGGAGTTAACACACACACACACACACACACACACACACACACACACACACACACACAAGGAGGACACCACATCTTCTCCTTTCCTCTTTCGGGGTCAAGGGGACAAACTGAGTTGGGAATTGGAAAGCCAATAAAGCAGAAGTAATGTTATAATGACCCTGAGCTGGAGATGTCCCGTCGACCCCCATCACACTGGAGGAAGTGGACAATCAAACAAAACGAGGACTCCGCTTGATCTCCCCAAAAAGCTGTTCTTAAACACGACCACGAGAACTACCGACCTCTCCACCGCTACTCCCAGTTGCTCTGAAGTCCTTGTGTTTGTGAGCGGTAACAGCGCTGTTTGTTTGGTAAAGGCAGACAAGAGATGTAACAGATGGATTAAAGGAAACAACACTTGTAGACATCCTTAATTGTATAAATCTGCCTTTGAAGTCAAGGATGCTACTAGTGAAACTGGGAGAGTCCAGTTGCATGTGATGGGTCCTTCTTTGCTGCTTCTATTTTGAGTTAAAGAGGTCCTTCAGTCATATTTCTAATACATTTGCAGTGGTCTACAGCAGGAGCGATCACTTTGTAAGTCGTTCTCTGGGGAGAATAAAAGCTCCGGTGCGGACATAGAATTCAGCTGAAGGGAAAAGTAGCTTCAGACAGCAGGAGTCTTATTTCCTAAAAAGTTGGACATCTCATCTCTGATTGGCTAACAGCAACACGACTCTACCACTGAGTGTTTGTTCTGCGACGCTAGTGTTTTATCTCCACAAATAACACAATTTGGGGGAGTTCTGCTGTGCGGTGGAGTTGCTAATGTAGGTTAGCTTCTACTAGTTTAGACATTCTCTACTGTTTTCTGGATGCTAAACCAACAACAGCGTTCCCCGTCGAGAGTCAAGATGGGTGAGTCCACGGATGTCAGTGACAGTGTGACGTAGATCTGTCAGGCTTTTCCAATTCCAGAGTTTCTATCAGAAGCTAATGCAGGAGATAGGTGTAGGAGACTATTTTCATGTTCAGCCTGCAGGACAAACTGAGAGGACCAAACTTTTGATCATTTTCAAAAATAATAAGTAAAAAAAATGTTTCTCAGTGAAGTTTCCTCTTTAAACAGAAACTATTTGTGTTACAATTTAACCCAAAACAGAAAAATCTCCTGTGTGTCACAACTTAAGGTGTTTCCATTAAAATTGAATAAATGATCACTGATCAAAGTAAATGGATACAGGTTTTTTTAATGTTATTAAAGTTTCATGAAGAAAAAAAATGACATCAAATGGTGCAGTAGTTTGAAATAAAAATAATAAACAATCGAACCCGACTTTAGGGACATTTCTCATCTTCTGAGGCGAGTTTATTTAGACAAATGAGAAAATTGGATTAAGTAACCCAGGTGTGGTGGTGAGAAGGCTTCAAAAATCTTGGCTTTTTCAATTTTGTTTTTCAACAGCAGTAACCCTCTTCTTAAGTTCCCTGCTGGGATCACTGTAACAAATGAACTGTTCAAAGCCTCAACCGCACTTCAAAAATGTGCACTATCACATTAAAATCCCGAGTCCGACTTTGTCCAGACTTTGAGGCAGTTTGTGAAGGGAGTGGCTGAAGGTGGAGGGCTGGAGCCTTGCTTGAGCTGCGGGTGTTTGATGGGAACAGGCTGAACTCTGTGCAGAGCAGAGATGGCGGAGGCCTGGGTCAGCCAGCCCAGCATGTTCTTTATCAGCTGCACCAGCGACATAATGGCAGATTGCAGCCATTCCTCCTCTGATTCATTGTCTGCTGGACAAATGTTAATTGTTTTCATCATTGGCAGCTATGTGAGCGTTTGGACGTACCCAGTCTCACTCCTTTCCTCCCACCTAATGTGCGTCTCTGCCCTCAAACTATCACCACAAAGCCTTCTTCCCTCCTCACTCCACCATTGGCTTCATCTCTCGTCTCTTTTAATGTTCGCCATCAAATAAAACACCTTTCTTTCATCTGATGCAATGACTCTACATTTAAGTGAATGGATTTACGTCATCGGGGTTTTTAAAGGGGAAACTGGAGAGTTTCACATAAAGAAAACTCCAAAAATACTTCATTTAGATTTTGATTGTCCCTTTTTCTGTTGATAGAATCCTCGTGCATGGAGAAGCTTCTGTCTAAAGACTGGAAAGAGAAGATGGAGAGGCTCAACACCAGTGAGCTGTTGGCAGAAGTAAAAGGTAGGATTACAAGGACAGCATCAGAACCAAGGAGATTTAGCACGGAAACAAGAGTCTGAGCCGTCTTAAAAACCTTCCTCATTCCTCTCAGATTTACATAATATTCAGCTCTCTGTAATATCAGAAAGACCTTGTACTCTGCCCTAAGTTTTTTTATTTTTTATCTCTTTTTCAACTGCTTCTGCAGAGTTTTTTCTTACATTATCCTCAGTGCTTTACAGCTGCTGTCCGTTCTTCCACTGCCTGGGAGCATGCAGAGCCTTCATGCTGCTCTGGTAATTGTTGAACCCAAAGTGTGCTTGATGCAAACAGCACTGGCTGATCTGGGAGGAGGAGAGACGCTCAGATCGGAGAGGAGACGGCGTGGAGACGCGCGCAGCCGTCTCCTCGGTGAACTCGCGTTGAAAGCGGAATGTCTGATGGTGAACGCCCTGCGCGGCAAATTGAGTGCACCACAGCAAAGCAACCCAGCACTCCCCCAAAAATGTCTGTTTATGACAGGGTGAAGGTGGGCTGAGGATGGGCCGGGCTCTGCAGTCCTTAGCACCGACTGTTACTGAAGGCAGGCGTGTTTATAGAGCAGAGAGAAGCTGAAAAACCAGCTGACTGATAGCACCAGGCTGCCGCTGGCTCCTGCATTCACCCTCAGGAAATCTAAACACACTTTTTTTTGTCTTTTTGTATTCTGTGGAAACCATCCATCTAAATAATAATACACTTTTTGTTTTATCAGATAGGTATGAATGTCATAGAATGTCATTCGGACTTTTGTGGACACACATTTGTGCAAAACTTTGCAAATATCTTACAAAATAACTGTATTGGCCTTGAATTCATCTATTATTTAGACCTTTCTAGAGCAGCGGTTCCCAATCCGGGGTCAATAACTCCCCCAAGGGGTTCCCCACATTTCAGGTGGGTGTCCAGAATTTTGTCTGGGCTGAAGTTAGACTATATTTGTAAAAATGATTTTAAAAAATCCAAACACACTCAGTATTATACTCAAAAGTCAGTATGAGTCATAACTCTTTATGTCCATATGAAGTTAGTAATTAATCACTTTTAATTTGTGTGTGTGTGTGTGTGTGTGTGTGTGTGTGTGTGTGTGTGTGTGTGTGTGTGTGTGTGTGTGTGTGTGTGTGTGTGTGTGTGTGTGTGTGTGTGTGTGTGTGTGTGTGTGTGCAGGTAGGAGTTTGGGTTGGGGTCCTTGGCTTGCCATGGACACAGGCAAGGGGGTGAAAAGGTCAGGAACCACATGTTTTAGAGTACGTTGCTACATGAACAGGAGCTACAACTCAAGCAGAAGGTTAAAACAATGCTAAATTGATGACCTTTTGCACTTCAAAGCTTGCAAACTTGCAAAAAATGTAAATGAAGAACCTTCAAATGGACATCTTACAGCCTATTTTAAAGATAAAGCATTTACAGAGAGCAAAAATCATCACTAGTGCACGAATAAAATTCAAAACCTTTATTCTCTGCTCGCAGACAGAAGCAAAAACAGCTGCTGAATGTTCTAATAAGTATATTCATTGGCAATAACCTTAATGAACTGAAGGATAAGTCATCTCTAGGTAAACTAGATTCATTGTGTCTGCGCCTGTGCACTGTTTGCCAGTGTAGATCAAAGTGCACGGTGTACAATATTTAAAATGATTTAGCCTTTTGAAATTTGGTGTTAAATTACACGGAGGCCATTTCTGCTGTTTGATGAATGGGGAAGAGGAAGGTTACTTGGTGGTCTGTAAACAGGTAGGGAGCCTGGTAATAAACACCATGGCTTGTGTGTGTGCGTGTGTGTGTGTGTGTGTGTGTGTGTGTGTGTGTGTGTGTGTGTGTGTGTGTGTGTGTGTGTGTGTGTGTGTGTGTGTGTGTGTGTGTGTGTGTGTTGATGAGTTATGGAGACAGTCTATACACCACAGTTACAAATATAAACGCTTCTCCTATCACAGAAGCAGCCTTAGATTTTTAATTAGCATGCCATTTCATATGACTGTAGACATTTCAAAGGGCTGCTTTGTGCTCACCCTTACAAATGTCTCTCTCTCTGCGTTTGATGTCTGCCTGATGTAAATATGGGCAATTAAAAAGAAGCCCAGGGTTGGAGATCCACAAGGTCTGCCTAATTAAAACACAAACAAAGGTACCAAGCAGAAAACACCTTATGATTAAGATCTAAAGCGTTACGATGAATCGGAGGTTCCATTAATTGTTAGGTTAAAACGGGTACAAAAGGCAAACATTCCTGTAGGTTTCAAATGAATGAAAGATAGTGGAAAATGGAGGCTAGCAGGCAGATAAAGGCTACAGTACCTAGCTGCTGAGCGGCCTTGCGTTTTCTATGCAGATCGCTCACTGATTCCTCAGCCAATTATCCCAGGCACCTTTTTAGGCTTCCTTTGGACATTGTTCCATCAAAACCTTGAAAGACAAGTAATTGTGCCGCAGGAGCAAGTGTTGGAATCTGACTGGTGAGGAAATCTTCCTCCTCTTTTTGTGCCCCTTTTTTTCTAAGAAAACAAATCTAAAATGAAAATCAATCGGTGTGATAGAATTTGACCCCGAGGGTTCAGCCATGAAAGGAGACACTATTTTGCTGTGGTTGTGTTCAAACACGCCTCCAGCGCTTTGTGCTGCTGACGTGAACGCGCACGTACAGTAAACAAGCAAAACAAAACAATTGCATCAACTGCATCGGAGATCTGCTTTTCAAGGTTATCCGACCCGTCCGTTTAGCTCCATGCAGACAACGCGTCTATAATTACAGCTCATTGTCGCGTGGGTTGTTCGGCTGCATAACGGCTGAGACACATAGAGAAACAAGCGCCGCGATCCTGCGGAGGCTGCGCGCTGAAGTCAAACACGCAGGATTGTGTTATTAGAGGTTAACGATTTCAAATCTCCACCTGCCTTTTTTTCTTGTTCGTCTTAAAGGCTTACCATCAGCATGAGCAGGCAAAGAGGAAAGTTTGCAAGCATTAGCGACAGATTTCTTTTCACCCGTCAGTTCCCGAGCTAACTGTTTGTTTTCATACCTGAGCTTAGCTGTCAATCTGCAGGAACGCTCAAATCTCCCGAACAAAACCACAGAGGAAGAAAAGGCATGCCGACTGGAAGGCTTCCAAACCACACAAAGTAGCAGATAATAAAAGGCAAGGTGGAACGAGTGCCTGAGAAAGAAGTAGGCTGGGGGAGATAAAAGGGACTTCACATGTGGACGCGTAGACATAAACACCTCAAATCAAAATGTCTTCCATCACAGGATGCATAATAATATATAATTCATAATAAATAACATAAATGATTTGTGAAATGTATACAAATGCAGTACACAGTGTCCAGTAGCGGATACGTGGCTTGCTCTTTGTGATTTATACTTAACAGGAATGTTTAAGCTTCCCTTCCCAGTGAGCCACTCCCACTGCACAAAAAAAAAACAAAAATAAACAACTAAAAACATTCATTTTATTCAAGCTTTTACACAAACATGAGGGAAATGTGCAGCTTCTAAATTGGAACCCAAGCTATATTCATTCTTAAAGAATGAAAAAAGTGAGAAAGGGAAAGAAGAAGAAAAAAAAAAGCTTAACACATTGAAATGGCGGCTTGAATTCTGAAGCAGAAAAATCAGGGCTTCTTGCGCTGTCACAATCAATTTGAGAATGGTTTCTACGTGACAGTGGCCAGCTGCACACAGACAGTCCTGTAGCAGGCAGATAAGTGGAAGCTCTTTAGGAGAACAGAGGGCAGGGCAGGGTGGCAGCTGAGACCGATTCGACGCTGGTCCTACCTGCGCTGGCCGCTCTCCTGCGCAGGCTGAAAGGACGCCACTGTCTGAACACACAGCCCACATTGTTGAGGTGCTCGGGTTTGCTTCAAAACGTTTTCGTTCCCTTTAAAACGTCACTTCATTCCCGTTGGGTTCAACGCACCCAGCCCTTGGTGCAGAAACACAACTGCGTATGTTTCTCTGTGATGCCTACTTGTGCAGCTTTGGAGAAACAAGCAACAATATCCACATCGTGGTATTTGCTGGCTGCCATGCTGCTCGTTAGATCTACTGAAACGCATAAAAACACATTCACATAAACGGCACAAAACTGTATCTGTCCAGTTGCTCCAGTCAAAAATGCCTCAGTTAGCATTTTCTCCACAACACTTAAGTCAACTGTTTGCCCTGTGCACTCAGGTGAAATATGAGCCTCAGTAAATCATTATTCCTCAGGCCACATTTGCCAGATGAATGCGTGTGAGTGTTGGACTGTGTGTTTTCCTCCTCTAATGAATTGAGGAATTTAGCTTGTGGCAATAGAAGTTAAAAAGGTAAGGCCTGTTCTCGTGTGTGTGTGTGTGTGTGTGTGTGTGTGTGTGTGTGTGTGTGTGTGTGTGTGTGTGTGTGTGTGAGGGCACCATTCTGTACGTTTTCTGTAGGTTGTCACTGGTTCTGTGTTTAGCGATGCTACTTGGAGCAGCTGGTTATTAAGCGATGGATGAAAGGATGTCATTGTCACGTTCTGCCCCTGCCTTCCTGACTGTGTCTCTCTCCTGCCCTGATTAGCCCTTATTGTTCTCACCTGCCCCACGTTAACCTGCCCATGTGTTCCTGATTTCCCTGTGTATTTATACCTCCCTCCTTGTGCCAGTCTTGGTCAGATCATTGTTGTTTGTCGTGTTGTTCTCGTTCCTGCCGTATCCTGTTATTAAACCCATTTTTACTTTATCCGTGCCTGCATTCCTGCCTCCTGGAACTCTCCACCACACATGGTCCATCATCTCCACACCCCCGCATCATGACAGTCATGGATTTCTTTACATGATGCGGATAAACTTTAAATTCTTCAATAAAAAGTCATTAGAGTCAATGAAACATGGATTTTGATATCTCATTACTTACAGAAAAATTAATTATACTTATTCATTTTATATTTTCCACCTAATAAAACAGCTTATATTTCTGTTCCTCCCCCGTTATGCGAGCGAGGGACATAACTTCAGTTCAG